AATAAGGTTACAATAAAATCAATTCATAATATATGAAATAGTCTTTATATATATATATATATATATATATATATATATATATATATATATATATAAATAAAAGATAAGATAATATAAAATAGATGATAATATATTCTCTTCGTCAAAATTTATCAATCAGGTAAAGAGTATTTTAAAAACAATTTTTCACCAAAAACAGTAATAGAAAAAAAAGTTAATTTTTAACTCTAATACTATAATATTTTAACATAAAATTAATTAGCAACATTTAAAATAATCTAATAAATATTTAAATCATATCACATCCTACTATGTCTCTTGATACACTATAACAAAAATTGTATTTTTCGATAGTAATTATATATAGATAAATTATTTATTTATTATATTTTATTTATTTATTATATTTTATTTATTTATTACATTTTGAATTATTATTCTTTATACTATAATTACATTTTGATTTATTATTTATTAAGAGAATTATCACTGGTAATATTTGAATCCAAGTATCTTAAAATTAGAGGTTGATACTCCAACCACTAAGCTACTACGATTTTCAAATAATAACTTACAAATAAATTATATTTATATACAAGTAAATGTATATCTGTGTAAATATATAGATATAAAATATATAAATACAAATATATTTATATATTTATTGATGAATATATCCGATCAGTAATTAATTAATTATTAATTTATCGACGGATATATCTGTCGGTAACTAATTGATAATTTACCTATGGATATTCATCAATAATTACTTGGTAATTTTCGTCAGTAATCACTCATTTTCTAATGATTATATATCTATTGATAATTATTTATCGATAATTAATTATTTTTTTAACGATTTTATCTTTGCCTGGAGATGCTATTTAACTACTTGGGCACTTCTTTTATTCAATAAATGATTTTTTTCTTTCCATAGTTTTGTACTTCTATGTCTACTAGTATAGACATTTATTCTGAATCGATAAAGATATTTAATTTATTCATCCAACATCTATATATAATATCATTATTATAAACATTAATGTATTCATTATTTATTATATGTTACTACATGATAGTATAATTCTCTTACTCTATTACTGCTTTCCAATAAGTATCTTAAGATATATTTCATATTGCTAAACCCTATGTTATGCAAAAACAATACCTTGCCAAATAAGATTATTACTTGATCAATTAATGATATTCAACCATGTCGATTCGAAATTCTTAAATTAGGTTACTTTTTTTGTTTTTCATTTTAAAAAGAAATTCAGTTATTGTTTAACTTTGTGTTTTTTTGTTTGTTTGTGCCAATGGTCGATAAGTTGTTTAAATTAATATTGTTGGTAATTTCCTTTTCGTACGTTACACGTGTGCAACATTAGAATGGTTCAATTCACCTTTCAAATTTTTAATAAACTTAAATTCAATAGATTAAAATTAATATATTTCTAATAGTTACTGCGACAAGACAACGAATACAGCAAACAGTTAATTGAACATAATAATTATTAATTCATATTATTTCTCAAATGCATGGTTTGACCTTTTTTTTTAAATTAATTAATGTAGGAAAGCATAAAATTATATATATATATATATATATATATATATATATATATATATATATATATATATATATATATATATATATATATATATCAGTAAAATGATTGTAAAGGGTAAAACCACCATATGCATATATGAAAACGGGATTAAAAGTCTTAGTAGTGGCAATTTCATGAATGGTTTAAAGAAATAAGTATTTATGCGAATATCAATATAGTTGTGTGTACAAAGTAATTAAAAGTGATGAAATTGTATTTTATTTCATGGGAGTAACCCTTGCTTGTATATTGTTAGTAATTTTCATTCATGTAGTGAGAATATCCTCTTCTATTAGAATTAACTTATTTTTTATTACCAAAAATGTTACTATTGCCAAAATGTAGGTGCAACGAAGTCGTGTGTGATTTTTTTATATATTCTGAGAATAACGAAGTTTGAAATTAAAATGTCATATAAATTATGTAAATCTCACTATTACTAGTTTGAATATAGTGAGCTAGTCATATATGTAATTATTTATTTTGACTGTATATATTTATTCTTTAATAAAAAAAGATATACAAGTCGATTAAAGTCAAATAATTATACCATTCTTCTCATGGTTATATATAAGGGCTATTCTTGAATAAAGGAAGTTGACGTACTCAATATTAACTTTCCTTTTTATACTAAAATGAAGTTTGATTAACAGAGTTACGTCAAATATAAATTAGATTTTAATTATCAATTTTATGATTTGTATGCATCATACTAATGGAAAAAAAAAACCAACATTGATGTTCATAAAAAATAGTTTTTTTTTTCATTTTTATTTAACTATCATATTCTAATATTAATTACTTGATTGATATTTATATTTTTATTCTTCATATAATCTTATACAATATATATTATAATATGGAAATGAAAAACTTAGAATGGAGAAAATTTATTACATTGATTTCTTAATTCAAAACACCATTACAAATCACAGGAAGGTATAGTTTTAAAATGTAATATATCTCCCGTTAATCAACACATCACGACTTTAAAAATTGAAATATAGCTAGATATGAGTTTACAGAAACTTTATTTTATTTTATTTTATGAAAATTAAAAATTTGTACACATAATTTGTAATTTGTAGTGTAAAATAGCATTTTCTTTTGAGGGAGAAAAGAAGGGAAATACAGCCTATAGAGTAAAATCTAATTGAATTTGACTAGGGATTGGGATGGAAAAGATGTAGAAAAGCACAGAAAGAAACATCCAAAGACTGAAAAACATTGTCTCTACATCAACAGTGTTACCCTATTATAATAATGTATAAACCACTAATACAAACTACCACTGACACGGTCGTACTTTCGCTCGTGTAATAAAAAACCATAAAAAATATATATATGCAAGTATGCCATTTTTCTTGGTTGCCTCTATGTGCTTGTTTCCCGTACTTTTGATTATTGTGGTGTTTTGAAACTTATAATATTATAGACTTTTATGCTGCCGTTGAATAAAAAACATTGTCAATAAAAATAATATGGTGCAAAAGCTAGTAAAAGCCTTGACATTATCGTCAGAATGGAAATATCAACGTTCACATTTAGAAGAAAAAAAAATGATCCATAAATTAAATCAGAATCATATGATATGGATTATACCAAGAGCCGTTTCCAATTTTCCATGCATGAGTGAAGCATTACTAAATTTCCAAGTGCCTTGTTCCTCCCAAACTTCCTTCCAAGGTTCCTGGCTATTTCCCACCCAGCCTCCATGAGTTTTCCAAAATAATGCCAAATCCCAAGCCACCTCTTAGCAATGCTTGAATGTGAGAGATGCATGCATGTTATGTACATTCCAGATGTGACACGAAACATCATCATCATCATCTTCTTTTTTTCTTTGTCATTTTAACTACCATGTTTTTCATTCTTTGATAAAAGTTGGAAATTCATTTTTTGTTAAATTATGGCTATGCAAAGGTTCTAATACTAATAAAAATAATAATATAATTGTTCAGTGCCATTCCGCACGCGACGCAACCACTCTTTTGGGTTGACTTCATCGGCTATAATGAATTGTTTGTTTGGTTGCTTGAATAAAGTCCCTAAACTTGAACTCGAGTTGAAAGTTTTGCATGGTCAACTCAAAAGAAAACCACTCCTCTTCATACCCATTGTTTTAATTAAGTTATTGTTACATGTTATGTATGAACGTTTTAAGTTATTGAAAATCATTGCTTTTCAACTATCTTAACAACCATTTCTTAATATTTCTGCTGTGTTTAATCATTTTCTTAAACGTATTTGCCAAATTGGAAATTCATTTTCTTAATCAATATTCTGTACATTTAGTATATCGCAAAGAAGAATTATACGTAATATTTACACGAAATACGTATATTTTTTTAAAATTTTAAATTTGTTTAAGAAGTTGATCAATTTTAGTATATAAAATTTAAAACGTACGCGATGTTCTCCCTGTGGCCATGTACGTTGGTTGGTTCTACCAACTTTATTCGTACGTGTTTGAACTATTTTTTAATTTGCATAGTCATCAGTGGAAGGAAGTCATAGTCTTATTGTTCACACTCAGATTCTTATGATCTATGATTCTCATATAAATAATGTCCAAACATTTGAAATCAGTATCCCTTCAAGTTAATTAAAGTTTCTGCACCAAATAGGCCTAAATGTAATATAGTGATGACTTATATACACCAAAATAATTCACTTTCTATTTGTGTTTACCCCATAATTATGCTCAAATAACATAGTTGTAACTTATTCGTATATATAGTTCTGTAAATAAAGTGTTTTCATGTATATTTATGTACGTACTTTCACGCCATCACCCTTATGTTAAGCCGAATTTTGTTTGGAACAATTTTCTTAATCTTACTAACATTTTCATGGCACATATATAGACGAGAAGCTCCATCATGTGAATAAATATTAAAATGGTGAATAGCTAGCCAATATAGATTTGGAAAAATGACTAAAGTTATTTCAGGAGTACTGATTTTTCATTTTTATTAAGTTCTGCAAATAATATTCTTAAAACCACAAATTATACAACTTTGAAATATCTCTAATTACAGGCTGGGTCAAATAGTTTTATCTTCTCTTTTTTTCTTTTTTTTCTTTTTTTTTTTCAAGTTGTGATATAGCACGCTGGGTTTGCATGCATTTGTATTCTCTTTTGTTTTTCTCATTTGTTTACTGTAAAAGTCTACGCCCTGTGAGATCACGGTGACGAGTGATAGAACCTGTGACATCTATAAAAACAGGTCCAAGCCTCGCATTTTGATAGCACTCATCAGTTCATCATACATATAAGATACACACATACACAAACTTCTTACATTTCTAAATACCTTCAATCCCAATTATACCAAATCATATTACATGGCTAACCAAAACCCGAACCCTCCCATGTTGATCTCAAAAATGGGCATCATAGGGGCTGGGGTAAGTGGCATAGCAGCTGCGAAACAGTTATCCCATCACAACCCTATTGTTTTTGAGGCCTCAGATTCCATTGGTGGGGTTTGGAGCCATTGCTCCTACAACTCCACCAAGCTTCAGTCTCATCGTCGTGATTACGAATTCACCGATTTCCCTTGGCCTCAAAGGGACAACCCCGATTTTCCCACCCATTTGGAGATACTCAGTTATCTCCACTCTTATGCTCAACACTTTGATGTTCTCAAGAACATCAGGTTCAACTCCAAGGTGGTGGAAATCCGCTTCACCGGCAACCGGGAAGTCTCTGGCTGTGCAAGCCCTTTTCCCGGTCAGCATGTGTGGGAAGTTGCTGTGCAGACCAATCACTCAGACACCATTCAGGTCTTCACAATTCATCTTCCCAACCACCTTCACACATTATTGCCTTCTCAAAATCAAACTCTTTCGTATCTTTACATAATACACGCCTAGGGTTCCACATATTGATGCAAATAAATTAGTGAAGTTAATATTTTTCTCCCACATACTTCTGAATTTCTCATCAAAAATCAGAAATTGTTAGAAGTTCTTGTCACGTCATTCCACAAAGAAAGGAAGGACATCTATGGTCCTTTCTTTAAATCTTTGAAAAAGTATTTTTTAAAATCATTTTTTCTGTAATACTTTCAATTATAAGAAGATAATGAAATATTGTTTTTTGGACTTTTTAAAATCATACAATCATTATATTTTTTTAAATGTTTTAATTTAAATATTTAAAAATAAAGATTTCCTGTTTGAAAAATCGAGTGTTTTGTTGCATGAAGCTTTGACCTATCAGTTTTTCTTTAGCTCCTTATATATATGATTCATAAGCTGAGAAATATAATGTGAAAAATTATTACCTACACATAATTTTTAAATTAATGTATCATATAGCAAATATTTATTTAATTACAAGTTCCCATAATAAATATATTTATATAGTTTAATTAATCAACCTAATTTAGCACCAAGTACTGTGTTATAACTTAATTTACTGTGAATTGCCATCTGTGAGTTTTAACAGTTATGATGAACAATAAGTATCTAAGATGATTTAAAATGAATAATACATATCTATATACTTGTGTAGCAGAATTTTTTATAGTAAAATAAGTAATAAAAATATTTTATACAACTTGTATAAAAAAAGTGATATATGAGCATGCATGAAGGAGTGGTGCACTGATAATAATATCCTTGATCTATTGATTTCAGTGGTATGGGTTCGAATTTGTTGTGGTTTGCGTTGGGAAATATGGGGACATACCCAAGATTCCATCGTTTCCACAGAAGAAAGGGCCAGAGATATTCGAGGGAAAGGTGATGCATACGCTAGATTACAGTAAACTTGACCAGGAAGCTGCTACTGAACTTCTCAAAGGGAAAAAGGTGGTGGTGGTTGGTTTCAAAAAGTCAGGTCTTGATTTAGCCATGGAGTGTGCACAGGCAAATCAAGGTAAATCATTATCCACTGTTTACTGTGTCACTTGGAAAAATATTTCATTAACTACTTAAAAAAATCATTATTTAAAAAATTAGTTTATACATAAATCAACTTATAATATTATCTTCTTAAGTACTTTTAGAGAATAAAAAAATATTATTAGTTTTTTATTAACTAAAATTAATTTATTCATAAGTTAAACTATTGAAATAATTCAGTATCAACTTTTCTAAAATCCAATTTTTAATACATGTACAAACTATTTAGCTTATAAACAAAATTAAATTCATTTTTCTTGTCTAATTTTTAGTTTAAAAATGTTTAAGGGGAAATTTCCTCAAACTGATCTATGTACTGACACAAACTGATCCTATGTAACACTTCACAATATTCAGCCGAAATTAACAATCTTAATATTACTTATTTTGTAACGTTTGAAATAATAACAGCTGATAATTTATGAGTGTTATAACTTATTGTTAAATATTATATTCTAAACATTATTAGTTCTTTTATATTTTATTGCTTGATTATACAACTAAAGTATTTCAGAATATAATTAATTTGAATAGTTGGTGTCTCAAGTTTGAAAACAAATAACGCTGTTTAACATGGGAAAAACATTTGGTAGAAGTTGCACAATTTAACTATCAGTTGAATGTATGTATATGAATATATATGTGAAACGATTTGCGAAGTAAAAATTAATTAAAACTATTATGTCTAATGAGTTATTTATTGTTTAACTCTTTGTATTCTCCGTCAAATTATTATTATTAGTTAAGAAATATTTGTAATAAAAATTGTCCATAGCAAAAAAAAAAATTAAAAAAAAAAAAAAAATATAAAAAAAAATATATATATATATATATATATATATATATATATATATATATATATATATATATATATATATATAAAGAAAATAGTTGTTGACGAATCAATGTGAAAAGCTATCAATTATTTTATGCATGCGTGTGACTCGATTTTCTTTCAAATTTCTTCTGCTATTCTTCTAACCTTTTTACGGGTTTGGGTTTGACACAAAGGTTGCGTTATTGAACATGTTGTCTCTTATTTATCATCGTGGCTAATGCATGTGCTGTGGAAAATAAAGATTCTTGAAACATTTTCATATTGGCACTAGTGCTTGTTGTTTTCTTTTATGTTTTATTTTCTATCAGAGTGTCATTTTCAGTTCTTGTGCTTATATGGCACCAACGGCGACGACATAAATTTTCCAAATGATTTTTTGGTTGCATATAATTAATTGTTACTGAATGTTAACAGTGCAACATGCGCTTATTTTCCGAGTTGCTACTTGCATGTTTTGATTGCACACTACTGTTCTTTTTATTTTATGCATAAAAAATGTTTTTGACCTGCATGCTGTTCTTTTTATTTTATTTAATATAATAATTTATGTGAAACTCAGATGGCACGAATTTATAGGTCATAAGTCATATAAAATAGAATTCCACACATCAGTTTTGACTTTCACAAATATTTGGACATACCTTTAAACGACGGGTTCCAACCTTCATCTTCACCCACAGACATGAAAGCACGTGTGACAGTCTTATACCATCATATGAAAAGTCCACTGAAAGTTCAACACCTCATGCTATCCACCAACTTATTGACAGAGAGGGATACGTGTTAATTATTATGCAGGAAATAAGATCTGAGAAGAAAAAGACAAACATAAGTTCAATAACAAACATATTATTATTTGCGTGGAATTTACTAATTTAAATTTTATATACTCTTAATTTCCATTTTTTGTTAATTAAGAGTTATGAATAACCTGCATGGCCCGAGTCCTAAAGATAAAGATTAGATAATTAGTTACATTACTATGCTTATATTGCAGAGTTGTACAATTAAATGTCTTAGTTTTCGTTTTTTGTTTCTTAAATTTCAACATGCATAACATTGTTGGTGTCCTGTTCTGAAGGACCCGAAGGACAAGCTTGCACCATGATTGTGAGGACTTTGCATTGGACAGTTCCCCATTACTGGATTTGGGGACTGCCGTTTTTCTTGTTCTTCTCAACAAGATCTTCTCAGTTCATCCACGAGAGACCAGATCAAGGCTTACTCAGGACTCTTCTTTGCCTCATGTTATCCCCACTGGTAAGTTACCATTGAAGTTTTCACTGTGCTGAATCACATAGCTAATGTATTACAAGCATAGCTAATGTTTTGTCGTTATGTTATGCAATGAGCCATAACAGAGGCGTGGCATTTCAAAGTTTATTGAGTCCTACCTTCTTTGGAAACTTCCATTGGAGAAATATGGATTAAAACCAGAACACCCCTTTGTGGAGGATTATGCATCTTGTCAAATGGCCATCATGCCAGAAAATTTCTTCTCCGAGGCAGAAAAAGGCAAAATTGTCTTCAAGAAGGCATCAATGTGGTGGTTCTGGAATGGAGGGATTGAATTTGAAGACAACACTAGGCTGAATGCTGATGTAGTGGTTCTTGCAACTGGTTTTGATGGAAAGAAAAAACTGAAAACTATTTTACCAGAGCCTTTTTGTAGCCTGTTGGAGTACCCTTCTGGTATTATGCCTTTATATAGGTAAGATTGAATCTTCAATTTGTTGTCCTTGCTTCCATACAAAAAAAACATTTGGAGAGGTATTAAATTCTTTTGAGCATACTTTATATTTAAAGTGACATTTATCGAAGATTAAAAACTCTGTAAGTAATATTTCTTATTTAATAAATTACATGTGATTTTATAATTTTTATTAAATTTTATCTAATAATAGATTGTATCAAAAAAATATGTCAGAATGTATTACTATCACTCTTCGTATGTGAGAACTAACTGCTGATTCATGCTCATCATGACAGGGGAACTATCCATCCATTGATTCCAAACATGGCCTTTGTGGGTTTCGTTGAAAGTGTTTCAAATCTTCACTCGTCAGAGCTACGTTCCATGTGGCTTTCTGGGCTGGTAGATGACAAATTTAAGCTCCCAAGTGTTGAGAGCATGCTTTCGCAAACTGCTGAGGAGATAGAAGTGATGAAGAGGTCAACTAGGTTCTATAAGAGGCACTGCATTTCAACTTACAGCATCAACCATAGCGATGAAATTTGCAAGGATTTGGGGTGGAGTTCCTGGAGGAAGAAGAACTGGTTATCCGAAGTATTTGGCCCCTATAGCATTGAAGACTATGCCAAGGAAGATTGAATATATAGGCTTACTACCACTCTCTTAGTGACAGCATAAATATTAGTAGAATAATAATAAAAATAACTGCATGTTTTCTTAGTTTTCCCTAGAAAACGAGGGTAAACAATTTTAAGGGTAAGTTGAGTGCTAAAAGTCATGATAATCAAGAGTCATGTTCCATGAATGTAGTCATAACTCCTTCAAGGTTACAGCAACTTTGTTCAAATAAATCATGCGTATTGCTGAACGGAACCTTGTTTGAAATAGCAAATTCAAATCATATTGAAATTATTGTAGTAGATTGTCACTGTCAATTGAAGATAAACGTGCAAAAGATACATATATAATCTCACTGTATTTTTGGCAAATAAAGGCATTATTTCCATCCGGAGAGGTTATAAATGTTTGCTCTCTGCATATCATCACCTCCAAGGAATGTGATCGAAGGCTCCAAAATCAGCTGCATAATTACAATGATTACAAACTTATAATTCACAGTTTACATATTTGTTTGACTCAAGAATCAGAAGCCTCAAAGGCTCTGAAGTATTTTCAGGGTCTCATCAATATGCTTTTCTGGTTGGAATTGATTGTTGTAGACAAGCTGAACCACCCCATTTTTGTCAATTACATAAGTCTCTCTTCCAGGCAACGATCCAAAGAAATCACCTGGCACTCCCCATTCTTTCCTCACCTTGTTACCCTCATCACTCAACAATGTGAATGGAAGTTTGTATTTGCTGGCAAATGCCTACATTCCATGCAATGCATTCAGTAACAAAAACAAAATGGTTAATTACAAAAATGAAACAGTGAAACCTTCGATTTTTTTTACCTTGTGAGAGGAAGCATCATCACCACTTATCCCAACAACCACCGCTCCTGCTTTCTTGAACTTCTCATACGAATCCCTGAAAGCACAAGCCTACAATAAAAAATAAATTACTCCTTCCAATCATTATCAGAAGGCACATTTTAGAATAAATTGTTGATCCTTTATATAAGACATTTTATGCCTTATATTGTATGTTCTTGCATACATTCTACCACCACGACCACCAGGACAGTATAATCCAATTGTACGCCTTTACCCTGTTGGAACTATACCATAATCCCTCATGCTTCAAAGACAACCTGTTGTCGACCCTCCTTGGAGGTTTTGGACCCAATCTGAGTAATTAAGCTAATACGCAGTGACTAAAACCCAATATCTAATCGTCAGAAGGCATACATCAAGACCTTCTAGCAGTAGATGAACCTCAACGGGGAAACAAAGTACTAAATCACGGCCAGAAATCCATTAGAGGTAGTGAATCTGGTAAGATTTTCCAATCCGGTTATGTTCCACCACGCCATCTCACATTGGAAATTCTAAGATAACAAAATCAAGAATGTTATGGATAAACCTAATAGGATTTGAAGTACCCTCTATCTTTTACCCTCCATTAGTATCATGCATATACAACACTGGAGTTAAACTCATGAGAATCTATAGAGATTTTGCTCGAACAACACTTCAAAGACCGGTGCAGAACACAACCAAAAGCCTTCTCTCCCCTTCCATTTCAAAAGAACAAAAATGCCTTCCTCTTATGCTTCATATACAGTACATCATACATTCACTATCTACTGTTGAATAATGTGAACTTTGAAAATGTTTAGAACCAAAAAACTTGGCATCTCCACTTTGAATTATTCCTACAATAGAAGACATTGTGTGTATTTACCTGTTTGGTACAGCCAGGGGTCTCATCAGCAGGGTAGAAATACACCACTAGAGGCTTTCCCTTGAAGCTGGAGAGGCTTACATTCTTCCCATTCTGATCTTTCAGTGTGAAATTCGGAGGCTTTGAACCTTTACTCACCTGTCAAAAAAGAAAAGAAACGCTGGTGGGTCGTAAGTAAGAACTAAGAGGTTACGTTACCAACATGCAAAAAGTTGATGATGAGTGAAATGTACCTTGGCGAAAATGGAGCCTCTGAGTGTAGAAGAAGAGGGGATTGAGGAGGAGGGAGAATGAGACAACTTGAGACCGAAAAATTGAGAATTTGATGGCGTGGAAGGAAGTGGGAGGTTTTGGGAACATGGGTAGTTGGGAGAGTGAGAGCGAAGCAAGGTGGGAAGATAGTGATTAGGGAGAGTAAGAGAAGCCATTGGTGAGGTACAGTGCGAAGAAGGAAATGGTGAGTGAAGATGAGAGGGATAAGGAAGAGCGTTAATGGCTGGTGAATGGTGATTAGAGAAGATTGGCCTCGTGGCGTGGACAAATTCTGACCCCAACCTCTGAACTTTTGAGTTTTAACCTTAACCTTCACAGGATCTTCCACGGTAGACAATAATTTATGAGAATGCTCTATTCTCTGCGTATTTTGTGATAGAGAAAAGAATTGGAATAACTTCTTTTACAAAAACAATAAGAACAAGGAGTTCAACATATTCTACTTTTATTTATTTTTATTAACAAAAAATATACTCGATTATATCACAAATGTTTTCACAGAAAATAGTATCTAAAGGATTAATCATATTTAATTTTAGATACATATTGATATAATTAAGTACATTATAATTGACATATATTGATATTTTTAAAATAAGTATATCACGTATTAAATTGAATTTATTTAATAAAAATTAATAGTTAAATTTTTTTAATGTGTATGATTTCATACATCTATCTATCTATCTATCTATCTATCTATCTATCTATATATATATATATATATAATACAAAATTATTTTATTGAGTGAAGAAAATATCGACATACACGATTTAATTTACAAATTCTTATTAAAATACATTTATAAATTTAATCTATTATGCAAGAATAATTTTTGCGTGTAAAAATGTGTCGACATTTATGTGTAGATTGAAATACATTTGCTAATGTTTAATGTAGGTTCGGAAAAAAAAATAATCAATCATAATTTTATATGATTTATAAAGTTAATATAAACGAATGTTTATTTTTATGAAACAAACTTAGTGTTAATGCATATGTAAATTTTATTTTTTACGCAATGTGAAATGATGTATTACGGTGTCGTTTCATGCATCCGATACTGAAATGGAAATAAATAAACGCAAGAGAAGTCAAAAAGGGAATGTTCAAGCGCCATTTTTGAGGTCTGTCGTTTCAGCGTTTGTAGCGATGGCTGGTGCTGTCAGTAAGGTTTCCGGCGACATCAACTCATCAGGCTTCGACCGTATCCGTCCGCCGCCGCCGCCGCCGCCGCCTGATTCTTCCCTTCTTTTGGCTACCAGGCCTCCCAGGTATCTCTCTCCCTCTCGCTGCTTCTTATCTAACCTTATTTCGGATCACACGTTTTCATTGTTTATCACCGTTATGATCGATTAGGGTTTGAAGTCTTACCTTGAGATAATTAATTGTGTGTTTTGTTTGTTGCAGACAAGCGGTGTCTTATTGGACGTGCTCAAAGCTTTGTGCAATTTGCTTCGTTGCTGGAATGGTTTTCGGTTACTCACTCAGAGGACGAGTCAGGCGTTGGGCTTCTAACATCCTCAAGAAGCTCAGCTGAAATTCAGGTAGTCATTTGGTTAGATTACAGTTCAATTTCATAGATGAATGTAAAACCATAGTATCAATTTCCTTCATTTTTAGATGCTCCGTGAAGGACACAGACTCAATTACGTACCTAGCCGTTTTTAGAGCACAATATCAACCACTGTTATACTTTTATTTTCGGTTTATGATTCGTAAATCTGAGCAGCATTTCTATTCTATGGCAACTCAGCATCTGATATTCATCACCACACCACATGGTTTTGTACTACCACTGCTCAACATGTTTTCAGTGTTAATTTTATGATTTCCAACAATTCAGCTCAATTTTAGGAGCAGATTAGATGATGAAAGATTTCAATCTTGATTACTTCGCTATTAATATATGATGTTACAGACTTTCAAGTTCATTTTTTAGTCAGTTTGCTATTATCAGTTCATCATGACTTTACGCTTTAAAATGGACAGTGTTGAGGGGGTTTGATTCCTTACTTTGGTTTATAAAACTAGTTCATTATTGTATTCCAAGTAAAAAGTCCAAATTGCTTCAAAACTTCCTCCTCCCCTCTCTAAATAACCCCGGAAAGTTGAGTAGGATTATACCCTATTCGTAATTCGTAGATGTGTTCAGTGCCTGTATATATATACGTTCATGTTTTACCATTATATCCACGTATTTTCCACTAATTTTTTTCTTTTCCAATTTTAGTTGATATTTCAAATATCTTAATTCAATTATACAAAAATCCTTTTATTTTCACGTTATTTTTTTTTTTTTAATTCGGAAAGAGAAGTTCAATGTTCGGGAGATATTTCCCCTGTCCTGCATTTCTCTATTAGGCATTTTTTTTTTCCAAGGATCGACAACTCTTGAAATAAAGAAACAGAATATTAAAGGACACACGGTCCACCATAGCCCACTTTTTCAAATTGCAAGCAACTAGATTGTTAACTACATATGAATGATAATTTATATTAATATTTCCCGATTTTGATTTTACTCGACTACAAACGTCAAACATAAATATCGAACAACAAATTCAAGATAAAATCCAAGCGTTTGTTGTGCCAAACACAAATGACTTAAATGTATTATGAATGGAAATCAGGTTGCAACTTAAGCAACATAAGAAAACTACAATCACTTTGGTTTGATTTGAATCAACACTCTCCTTGTCCTACTCCATTATTTCTATCTTTTATAAATTTAGATATTTTGGAGTTGCCCGCTCGGTCACTTGTTATTGCTAAAAAAAAAAAAAGTACAAAAAATTTATTGACACCGAAAAAGTAACCCGTCGAAAACTACACCATGATCTCTCTGTAGATTACGGAAAATACAAAATATGGCCTGTGAATAATATATTCTAATTTTTCTAAAATCAGTGAGGCTACAAAAACTGAGAAAGTTGCACTCTTCGCATTGAACCCAAAAGAATGAGTCATTACTAATGTGGTTTGGGCACATAACCATCAACGGCGAAGTTCCGAGTAGCAGCAGGTATGGCTAACCGAATTCCATCAAGTTCTGGTTTTGCAATAACTTGGCAACCCAGACGTGATCTGCGTATTTTCCATAATTGGTCAAGGTCGAATTTGAGGGGCAAAAACAAAATAAAAATTTCAAATCCCAATTTCATGAATGGCTAACCCACGTTTCAGTAAGCCCGAAAGCTAGATCTAACATGTCATTTTCCTCATCAGTTGGATCTTCCAATTTATTGTAATGTTCTACGTCCTGCACAAAAAACAGTTATTTGACCCTCTTGTAAATGGAAAACGGTAATTCAAAAAATAGATTAATATTAATTTCAAGCAACATTTCACTACATAGATCACCCATGATGTACCATGACTATAACATGGCAGGTTGAACACGCAAGCGAGCCCTCGCATGCTCCTGCAATAACATCAAGCATTTTACGCAAAAGGAAAAGTAAGCTCAATCATTTATGAATATGCTTGGCCTCTTCAGAAATGGCCGACAGGATGTAAATCAAACTATGTTATGTCAGCAGAATTCAGAATCTTGAGCAAAATAATGAAATTCTAAAATTAAAACTCTTGCCTTCTAGATCAATGTCATTTTCATGAGCAGCTTCTAACATAGACATTCCAACGGGGACTTTGATATGGTTTTCTTCACCGTCCTTGTCAATAAAAGTTACAGATATCCTGCACAATGTTGCCTCAAAGAGTAAGGTGCAAAATAATATATGTGCAAGATTTTAATATTGTCATCTCATAAATATATGGGCAGCGTACGACAGTAATGGTGTAATCTGTCCTAACGGAAGTAACACTGACTGGTAACTAATGGTGTAGGGAAGCATTTGATACGTAGGTGGATTATTTCCATGTGATGGGACTTGAAATGTAAAATTTTTCAAGGAATGTCACCTGCTGCAACAACTGAGGCTTAAAGATTTTGTCATTGTTTCCATTTGGTTAAAGTATCAGAATCACACGGCAACCTAACTCCTGCTCACATATCATACCATACCCCCGTGATAAACAATATGAAATGTTAGTTGGTTGCACACAACAAACATGTAACGGTACGGCAGGGTGCCAAACCCCAATATTCATGTCATATTAACATTCTCTGCACTTAGAAGTTCTCACTCAGATGCCTCGAAAAGTTTAATCATTAGAAGAAAAATATATTAAACTCCCATCCAGCTCACTACAGATAGTCAGTTCTTAAGTCCTTCATTTAGGGGATCAAAATATTGCATATGCTGTATGATAAAGTAGTTACAAGGCCGCTGAACTTAGATTGTACTCTCAACAATCACTTATCTAGCAAAAATTTAGACAACAAGATAAAAGGCCAATTTATAATACTTATGAGGGTCCTTGTTCAATGACTAAATCATGATTAGCTAGAAACAATAAATTGGCAGCTGTGAATTAGTATGCAAAGTGTACTCATGCTGTGTGTCAAAATATAGCATCAACAGTAAAAAAAATTACCAATTTTGGATGGTGTTTTATACAATTCAATATTTTGTTTTTTGATTATTTGTTAATCATAAAAAGTCAACAATTCTATGTCCAAAATCATAATTATAACACAAGCACAACCAATAGTAAGTTTATGAATGTAATATTGACATAATATTTGCATGTAATTAACAGGATCACATACTCCCACAAATTTGCAATCTAAATAAAAATAACTTACGTTTCATTTTGTTCGCTCCCTTCCTCAGTGTTGTTAGTAGTCATTGTTGAAAGGAAATTATGATTTCCCATCATGGCTGCCTTGTATAACTTAGTAAATGAATGCTGTTGAAACTAATTAAAGAAAACACAAAATAACTACTCAAAAACAGATAAGCATAAACCAACGCCATAAGAAAGTAAAAATTTAGTAAAACAAATTCTCCATTAGTCATGATGCAAATGTACAAACAATTTCTAAGAAACTTTGATCGCAGAACCATTTGCCCACATATTTGTAAATTTGACAAATATTTAAAATGCCAAGTATAATCAGTCCTCACTCCAATCCAAGTAACTAAATTGATAGAAGACTTCAGCTTTCTGGGTTATTGTGTTTACAAACTAATAATTTTGTTCCAAGAATTCAAAAACAAATCCCTTCTAGTATTAAGATAAATGAAACCAATAAACTAATTAAAAAAAAAAAAGAGTACAATGTTTAAATTATCTTCAACTTCAGAATAGCCGGTACCAGAAATAGAGAAAAACATTGCAAAAAATAGGGTCCAATTTTTCCAATCCTCTGCGAACCACAAACTTGTTGCCCAATTTAGCAAAAGGTTGGAGAGTCCCTTATACAGATGGAAAAGGTTAATGTAATTATCATACTACCCTAATTCATCTTTATAATTGACACAAAGACGTCCAGATCATAAAACCAGTATCAGATTGCCCAACTTAAAAGAAATTGATTGCTTAAATTATAACTGCGGGACAAAAAAAAGGAAAATCAAAATTCAGGGTATTAAACTACTAACCGGAGGTTGCAAGTAATGATATTTTGCTTTCCGAATATATCCTGTTCCACACAAGGATGTACAATTCCCTGGAAAATTAAAATACAGATAAAAAAATTAGCTTAATAGGTTTAATATAATTACAAGTTGAAAAGAGAAAAGTAACAAGTAGAAGTACTCGTGCAGAGGTGTTTAGCGATCGAAGCTCCGACTCTAGCTAGTTTGGAATTTAGCATAGTGATTTTAGGGGTTTAAGAAACCCTAGAAATTGCAGAGGAAAAAAAGATATAAAAAAATGTTAAACTCAAGAAAAATAAAAATTATATAAGTTGAGAGGGAGAAGGGGGCGCCACTATTATGTTATTGGAGGCGTGGGAGAATGAGAAAACCCACAACCAGAGGCAGCAATTTGTAGAACAGAGCGATCTTACATCTTAAAAGCCCAACAACCGAAGCCCAAAAAGCTTTAAACTTAATTATTTTTTTATATCCCAAATTTTGGGTATATCTTTAAACTTATCGAGTATCGGAATAGTTTTTAATTTAAATATTAATTTTTTTAAATATATAATTGCTTTTATTTTTTTAAAATTAGTTTTATTTGTTTTTTATTTTAAATAAATTAATTCATAAATTTTATCATATTAAAATTAACTTAAATATATGGTAGAAATGTTAGCAACATAAAAAATAATATTAATAGTGATGATAATAGTGTTGATATTAATAATAATATAATAATAACAATTAACGTATTAGTTATATTCTCTTTATTTTAAAATTTACTTTTGCAAAATAAAAAATAGAAATCATTCAATGAGGCTTTAAGAAATTGACTTTTATTAAATATTTTTTTCAATTGTATGAACATTAGAATCAATTTTTTTATTAGATGTTTGACATGTATATGAGCATCGAAGGACCATACTTGCACAACTTATTCGTGACGTTACTTGATTTTGACGATAAAATAAATTGACGTTACTTGAGTTGAACTGTAGATAAAATAACACATTATACTTCATAAACATAATTAGATATTTTATTTATGTTAATGGAATTCATTTCCAGTTGTAAGTATTAAAAGTCATAAAAAATATTTATATTTTTCAAAATAATATAAAATTATATAACAGAAAATTATTTTTTATACAAAATATTTTTGTAAAGATCTAAAAAAAAATTACCAATTAAAATGTGTATTTATTTATTATAAAATTTCTTATTAATACTCTTAAAGTTTAACTAAATTATAACAAATTATATTATTAATAAATTATATTTTGAGATAATAGTAATTAAAATAATTAAACAGTAATTTTTTTAAAGCTAGAAAGATAAAAGAAAAGTTTGTTGCGAGATATTGTATTTACTTTGTTGATCCATCTTTTTCTATCAGGAAAGAATTAGTTTTCAGCTGTCACCTGAATAATAACCCAGTGTACTAAAAATAAATAATGACATCTTAGTTTGACCTAATGAAAGAACACTCTCAGGATTTTAAATTGTATTTTCATTCCTCTAATTTGAGACTTTGTCTTTTTGAGGATTTTGGTTTTCTAACTTTTTAAAGTTAATTGAATTATTTTTAAAATTATTAATTGGTATTTTCTATTCATGTATTTAGAGATTTTTTTGATAAAATTGAGATATAAAATATTTTTAAATTTAAAAGTAAGACAATTAGAGAAAATCTATTTAAAATTTAAAGAATTGTTTAAAAAGTAAGATTAAATTTTGAAGACCAGAAATTTGAGTTGTATTTTATGTAAAGTTTTACGTTTTAGTCAGTAAATTTAAAACAAAATATAATTAAATGGATAGAATCTGCAAAGTTTTCAAATTAAAAACAATAATTTACAAATCTCGGGTAAAAAAAAAGTGACGAAATTAATAAAAATAAAATTAAGCATGTATAAAACTAATGTGCGGGACAGGAACTAAAGTCTAAAAAAACATGTTTGGGTTTGTTCCTAAACAACCTGGTTTATAAGAAAAGAAGACGCTTACAGTTCAATTAAACTGTACAACTTTAATCATATATCATACATCAATCAAACTCATCCAAATCGAATCACCGACATACGTATTTTATAATATATGCTTACATTAATGACTTAAATTCTTTTATTTTGTTAAAGAAACGAGAAATTAAATTAAATTTTGATGTATTGAACAAGATTTATCTTGCGTGATGTTTTACCGCACCAATGCATTGTAATTAAGTTGAATTGATGACACCATGTGTCGTTTGGTTTGCTAACATGTCTTCAAAATAACACATTTTCTACGAGAAATTACAGTATATATATATAAAACGGTTGGGTTTTGCCGGAGAAAACTGAAAAACAGATATATTGAGGGTAGCGTGTGAGGGAACAGAAGGAAAGAAAAAGAGATACAACCCAACAACGGCAATGCCAACGCAACTAATGATGGAGTGTTTTCCAACCATAGTTTAGATATAGTTTTTCTCCAACAAACCACACACATTACCTTCAATTTTGGTTCTGTAAAACTAAGATAGCATTTCTTATCTCCAGCTAATGACATCTTCTGTAACAGGTATCAATCTATCCATTCACTAATTTTTATGTTTGAATCAAATTTAATTATCTTCTACGTCACTGGAGTATTTGGAAATTGGTAAACTTCATGTTCTATGTTAATAAGAAATGAAACTCAATTAGATGCGTTTGTGTTCTTTTTTGTGCTGAGATGATCAATGAATGTTTTCCTTTTGGTTAATTGGTGATTCATCTTAAATAGTTAAATCTCACACTTTGAAGAATATCAAGTTGAAGTTGTTTCATGTTTCATTTCCTGCATTCAGTGTAACATCTGAAGAGACTGCATAGTTTGGGGTTGGATCTGCAGAGTTGATCAATGGATGATGCTGGAGGTTCCAAATTGGGTGGAATTAAGCAGATTGTGAGATTGAAGGAAATGTTTCAAAAGTGGCAAACTGTGAGTCTGGGCTCAAAAGAGTCAAACAATGATTCTGATGTGGCTCATCCAGGGGGCATTCCACCAATGGTTAGCAAAAGGTTAACAAATGTTGTGTATTGTGACTCTGATGAGGATAGCTGCTACAGCCCTCAACCACCACATGATGTTCCCAAAGGGTACTTAGCTGTCTATGTTGGCCCTGAGCTTCGGAGGTTTATCATCCCCACAAGCTACCTTAGCCACTCTTTGTTCAAGGTTTTGTTGGAAAAGGCTGCAGAGGAATTTGGGTTTGATCAGAGTGGTGGACTCACGATTCCATGTGAAATTGAGACCTTTAAATACCTCTTGAATTGCATGGAGAACCAGGATGACAGCTCCGGTAAGTTTATTGAATTATTTTATATAGATTGTCTCTTTCATATAAAACCAAGAAAGCTTAGGAAATGCATTTTTTTTTAAATAAATTTGTACAAGTATTGGTGTGGTTTGTGTGCATGAGTCATTTGGAAGGGAGTAATTGTGTTTTACGCACCCAATTCATTCTTTATTTTCACCATCATCTCACTGCTTATAATTGGAATTGGCACTTGATTATTGTAGATGGGGGACAAGAAAGGAAGAATATTTTTCTTTGTTGTTCGTTTTTTACACCTTTTCCAATAATAACAATAATTCTATACCATTTTTATTTTACCATTCTGACACAGGAACAAGAAAAGCATACACAAATTCAAAGGCATTCTGTCTATTTTTCTTTTGCAAAACAAGTGTGAACATTGGTGTGCAATGTGGTTCTAGTAACCCTTTCCTTTTTAACTAACTTTCAGACTCTTGGTGGAATTGCAGCAGGAAACACAGGAACTGTGGAAGAATAAATAATTGCTCTGATCTATATAGAAGGGCAAACATAGTGCTGGTTTCGAGTGCAAAGGTGGTTTCCCATTCTAGGCATTCTTCCAAGTTCTTGGTTTTGATTTCTTACATGAACAATGATAGAAATCCAGAATTAGAAAGATTTCTGATGCCTCATTTTCTTGAAGAACAGTTGTTAAATATCTATGTACTTTTCATCCTATGTTCCCCCAATACATGTACTTTGCCAACATATTCAAATAGAACATTTTTGACATTTAATGAACTATATTATCCACTCAGGATGTCAAAATGTGTGTTTCTTTTTGTCAAAGGTGCTTAATTATGAGTTATGTGATTCTCACGCATCATTATATTCATGAACCTCTGATATGGTTTCAATGTGGTGAGATGCTTAAGACTTCCATACACACATTTTCATACATCAGAAGCCATTTATTTTCTTGTTTGAAAAGAAAAATAAAATAAAATGAAAAGTGATAATCGATCATGTGCTTCTGTAACATAATCTTGAAGCAAATCCGGGATTCGAGCTGTCCCAAGTTCCATTAAGACCAAATGCGTATTTATTATTTAGTATGCTATAATCGAGGTGTTCTTGGTGTCCAGAAAATAAAGATTCAACAATTCTCCTTTTGTCATAGCATATGCGCACATGATTGATGGGAGACAGCATGAATGTGATTGCTAACAAGATCTGATGTTTATTGTTTTAATATTCGCTATTTGTGTACTTTGTATTCATTATGTTGAACAAGTGTCCTTGTTTTTCGGCAATCAATGAACAAACATGCATTGTCCTTCTACAACTACTTTTAGTTTTAATGGGCTTACGGTCTTCAATGCTCATGAAATCTTGATGGGCCCATCCGGGACCGCTTCCGTCCATGGGCCATAGCAATTCTAGTGGCCTAAAAGTAAAAGTAAAAGTAAATTTTAACAACAGTTTGGTATGTGTATGGATATAGGGGTTTCAAAAGTTTAGAGGAATTGTTGACAAAGGATGGAGCCCCATGTAAACGTCTTCTGTAATTATTGCAGAAAGACGCTGTCAACGTCCAATTGGTTAACAAACCAATCTAAACAGAGCCGAAAGCAAGTAATAATCATTTTTTGATAAACTTTACAATGAAAAAAGTGTCATAATAAATAATTACGACCATTCTAAACATATTTAAAATATGTTTATGTTTTCACACAAATGGTCTGATACAATACTTTTTACCATAAAATCTGTCTTGTTGAATTTTAATCCATTGTCACCCCCACGAATAACTTTGATAGATTTGTGAAATTGATTCTTAACTATTACAATGAAGTGTAAAAGATGATTTTGTGCTTACATGTTTACCACACGACAATCCAAGTAAAACAGGTAAAATCATCTACATGGTTAGAAAATACCAAAAAACATTTTGCGCAGAGAAAATAGGAAAAGTGGTCCCCTTTTGTCCATGTGCAACAATTCAAAAGAAGAGACCTATGATTCTATAGTGTGAAAACTACGCAGCATGACACAAAAAACATAAAATGCGAGGCCACATGTGGAATAAAATCAGAGACTGATCTGAATTAAACAAGACCCACTTTAATCTCCACCGCTGAGATGACCTTAGTCAAGCCATAAGTGGCAACTAGATCATAATCACAAACTGGAAAGAAAATAAGTTAAAGTTAAACATTAGATCATGTACAATTCTAGTTTCATTATATTTTGAACAGCCAAAATTGTGAGTAAATTTAGAGATTGAGTTATAAGATAGAGGAGTTAAATAATTGTAAAATAAACGTCATACCTTTCACAAAATCGTCAATGTATGAGTGAATTTCAGGGTCAACCACACCAATCTGAACAAATTTAAGATTTCAGGGACACCTGTTATTACTTTCTTTACAAATTACTAAATTGATATTGGCTTCTTTACCTAAATGTTAAAATAATATTATACACATGGACACAACACAACAAATGAAAATAGAAATGAAAATAAAAGGGAAGAGTTAATTCTTAGCTACGCACCACAAACACAAGAGTTTGATCATCAGATGCAGCTTCGATATAGTTTGTAAAGTCCATGATGGGCCCTTGGGCAAGGGAACCAGTTCCATGCATGCAGCCTAAATTCACATTTCACATCATGCCGATTAATTACTCAAGTAAAATTTCAAAACCTGAAAAAGTGCAACCAACATTTAATATTTATAACCTATTTTTCTACAGTTTGCAGGCAGAGTGGACACTAAGCTTGACAAGTTGGTGAACATCCGACAAGCCACTTCACCATTCTCGGGGTTATATATTATTCCATCTTGTAATAAGTGACCTGCAAAAAAGGGTTTGTGAAAGCCTTAACAAATTGTCTATAGCAACCAAGACTGTTTCATTCATGTGCCATGAAATGGATAGAATATAAAATTTACTTACGCAGTTGCTCTGCAAATTTCGCTAATTCAGTGACTGGCTTTGTACTGGGGTTGAGCTCACAGCAACCCCTTGGTCCAAAATTGACATAGATATTACGTATAAAGCCAGCAGCATTGAGTCTACTTGATAAAATTTGTTCCAGTGGCTAGAAACAGAACCACAATAACGAACTTTAAAATGCAAGCGAAAACAGAAACCATGTCCATTTTAGATCGAGGGAGGATTTGTTTTAACCACTGGCAGTTACTCGGCACCAAACACTTAATTCACAGGAGAGAATCGTTTCACAACAGCACCAAAATCCCAAATGTTAAAAAAATTGATTACATGATAGCTCTGTCAAAACTCCAAATCAAAAGGTAATAATAATGCCACGCAGTCAATGTAAAAATACTGATTTTGTAGTCACTTTCTTCATAAAAATCAGATGTTGTATGGTGAATTTCGGGGACAGAATATACCTCTATTATATTAAAGAATGCATTCATTTCAATGATTATGTTGATCAGAATGTTTTATCATTAAACTCATTCCATTGCATTCCTTTCAAAGGATAGAAAAAAAAAACTTTTAACTACATATCAATCAACTTCAGGTAAAGAATTAGAACAAACCAATTTGCTTAACTAACCAAAATGTAAGTTGCAGCAACATTTAGAAGTGGAGACCGCAGCACACTCTGCAAGGGCACAGTACAATTATAAAATAATTATCATTCTTGACTAACTGAAATGACATTCTACTTATAAAGTTAATTAACATTTGAACACTTTCCCAAGTATATTGATTTTTGTGCTCATAAAAGTAAATTAACATTTGAACACTTTCCCAAGTAAATGCTACATTTTCTGTTGGTAACCCCTTCTCGACTGCTTCATTCATTCTCCTACTTCTTCTTTTTTTCCTACTGTTCGTTTCTTTTTGTTCTTTCATTTGCAATTACCAATCAATCGGAAATTAATAGAGATTTGACTTTCTTGTAATGGGTAAAAGAAAAGAAGAAAGATTGCATTACAATTTCCTCTTCTGGCTTAAAATATAATGGAATGTTGTTCAGCAAGAAGATGAATCCTCCAATGTTGGACCCATCAGAACCTTCGTCTTTTCCACTCATGGCTGACACTTGTAAGTGCACCCTTTGAATCTGCGTTTACGAGAGCGTGAGAGTGAGAGAGAATAAACGGTGGAAAAGATAGAGTAGGAGTTTAAACGATTTCACAGTAATGCAATTTTATCTGAGTAATATTCTCCCTTTCTTTTATATATATATATATATATATATATATATATATATATATATATATATATATATATATATATTTTGTCAAACTAAAGATGTAATAATTTTTTTATTTTAATAAAATAATAATTAGTTTTTTTTTTTGCTTTTATATAAAATGTATAAGATAACAGTCAAGTCAAGCCCAACAAATATAAGTTTTTTTTTTGTTTTAATTCATTTTTTTAATTTCAATGCTCAAAGAGGTTGCAAATTTTCAATGCTCAAAAGATTTTGATTATCTCATAAATGACAAGATGACTTTCTCCTTCACTTCTGTAGGGAACATGCATTATCTCTTCTCCCAAACTTCTTTTATAAAGGGAGATAGGACACAAATATCAAATTTTTATTTTGTGATAGAGTTTATATTGGAAATCTTATGTTTTTTTTTATGGTTTAAGTTACTTCATATATTATTAATTACAGTGACGAATCTTAATAATTGATTATATATTATTAATTATAGTGACGAATCTTAATAATCAATTTTAGAGGGCCAAATAATATATTATTAATAAATAATACATAAATATAAAAGGAAGAAAGAAGATGAAAGAGTGAAAAAATAAAATTGGAGATATATAGTTAAATATATAAAATGATCATTAGATTTAAGGGGAACAAAATCATAAATTATATGAGAGTTAAAAAAATGAGGAGGGGCTGAAATGATAAAATTGTAAATATACAAGTAAATTTAATATTACTAAATATTCATTAAGTTTGGGGTCAAAGTCATAAATTACATAGGAATTATAAAACTCTGGAGGGTTACCGTCCTCCTTCATCTCCCAATAAGATTTGTCACTTATCAATTGATTTTATGTTGAAACCTTAATATGGTATGAGAATCAAATTCTACCAACTTTCTACTTATTATGTTGGATTACATTTTGTTATGGATCAAAAATACATTTTGTCTTATCCTACAAATTTGATTTGAATTGATTTTATATTGAAATCTTATCTGATACAAATCTCTAGTTTATTTTTGTAAAGCAGAAATTAAGAAATTTATGGAGTAAAGACCTGTGTAATTGACAATAAATATTTTGAGTGAAGGATTTATGCACTGTTTCCTCACATTTTAGGTTTTGTTTGTCTCCTCTCTTTTTTTTCCTGTTTTAGCTTTCGAGCATTATATTTTTGGGTGCAATTCTCGCACGGATAAAGAGGAGAAGATAATGGAGGAGGAAGAGGAGAAGGAAGAAAGGGAGAAAGAAGAAGCTAAAAGATAATATGAAGAGATGAAAAGAAGCACGTCGAGGAGGAAGAAAAAGCTAACACAGAGATAAAGAAAGGGAAAGATAAAATTGAGGCTTCAAAAGTTGTCTCGCTTTTAAAGTATGCCCCAACTCAATATAAGATTTATGAATTGGATTGGTCATTAAACGTAATGTTAATTTTATATTATTAAGAACAGCATTAAATACAATAATATTTATCATCTACATTCAGAATAAAAACCAAAATAATAGAATATAAAGTTATAAGAAGTTGACATACACTAATCTGAATGGCTAATTATATATTTTATAAAAAATAATATTAATTGATAAAATAATTGTGTTATTTTGTAAACATTCTTAAATAAAAATTTATTTATTTTAAAACTATTATAGTTTGAATCTTAAAAATCATATCTTTTACACTGATTTTATATAACTTTTCGTGTATTTGAAACAAAATAATGATAAATTAATAATTAGTTGTAACCTTTATAACTAATTATAGTCCAATATATTAATATAATAATAATAATAACAATAATAATAATGATATATTATTTTAATATATTGATGATCATCTAATTATATATTAGATAAAATTTTGTCCATAATTTTGTGTCCCATTCTCATGGGTTTCAAATTTTCTTACTCAGACTTAACCACACTTTAAAAAAATAATTATATATAAATTAAAATAAATTAATTTTTAAATATTAGTTTTCATATATTTTTTATAAATAAAATATCATAAATTTACATTTTTTAAATTATTATTATTTATTGAATATATTTTTAATTTATTATATTTATATTATATATATATATATATATATAAATTATTTGATTTTTTCTTTAGATACGAAATACTTGTATTATTATTATTATTATATATTATATCATTATATTTAAATGTTAGATTATATATATAAAATAATTATTTTTTAGGTTTATCATTTTAAGTTATTATTAAATATAAAATTTATAGTTATAAAATAAGTTAATTTTTATGGAATTAGTATAAAATAAAATAAGCTTCAACTATCCATCTTTTAAATTGGTAATTTCACTCCATCATTTTAAATATAATTATTTAATTAACAGAAAATTTTATATATAATAAATAAAAATAATAAAAATTTAATTAAATAAAATTCAATAAAGATAAATTAAAAATAAAATTATACAAATAATACTAAGATTAATATCCAATATTTATAAAAAAAAATAGAAAAACAAAAAATCTTTATGTTTTCACTAAAGTGACTAAAGAGATTGGAGAAGCGAGTATGTTTAATTAATGAAAGAGATTAAAAAAGATCAATTAATAAAGAATAAGTGAAAGAAAAATAAAGATTGTTAAATGTTTTTTTTACCTTAGTATATATATATATATATATATATATATATATATCATAATTTTTTTTAGTTATTAAACCGATGATCAAATGAAGTTGTGTGATATTCAAAAACTTTGAGTCTGTGACAAACATACAGATTCAAAAACTTTGGTGCAGACAGACACCGTATCCAAGGTCTCCCAAACCACTGTACATAATGAAGCACTTGACAAACGGGTTTTTCATGAACAATCAAATAACAGTTTAACAAAAAATAAAAGCTATCCATGCAAGGGCGACATTTGGAATAAAATCAGAGGTTGATATGAATTAAGCAATGCCCCATTTATGCTCCAGCAATTCGATTATACGATTCAATTCATCAGTGGGTCTAGGATAATCAATAACTGCAAAGAAAATAAATTAAAGGTAAACATTAGGTGGTGCAAAATTCTGGTTTTCCTTGTATTTAGAGAACTAGTTGGAAGAAATAAACGCCATACCGTTCACAAGATCATCGACGCGTGACAGAATCCGAGGGTCCATCCGACCAATCTGAACAAATTTAAGATTAAAACATCTTATTATTGGCACATGCTGTTACATTCTTTACAGATTGTTAAATAACATTTCCTTGGATTTACATCTTAATCTTACAAAAATATAAATGAAAATAGAAGGAATGAGACAATTCTTAGCTACGCACCACAAACAGAAGAACTTGTTCATTAGATGCAGCTCTGATGTAATCATCTAAGTTCCCGATGGGCCCTGGTTCATGGTTTAAAAAACCAGTTCCATGAATGCAGCCTAAATTCACAATTTCACATCATGCCAATTAATCACTCTAGCCAAATTTGATAACCTGAAAAAAATGCAAACATTTAATAGTTCTAACCTATTTTTCTGAAGTTTGTAGGTGTAGTGGACAGTAATACTGAGAAGTGGTCTCTCACCAGCCAAACATCTTCACCGTTCTCGTTGAGAACTGATCCAGTTAGGAATAATCGACCTGCAAAAGGAAAATTGTGAAAGCCTGAACAATGAAAAACGATGTGGTAAAATCTTGTGAGAACTCAAATTGGATAGAATGCAAAAATTACTTACGCAGTTGGTTTGTAAATGGGACTACTCGGTTCATTGGCCTTGCATTGGTTTTGATCTCATAGCAACCAATTTCTCCAAAATCGACAATGATATGACGTATCAAGCCAGCAGCATTTAGTTCACTTGATAAAATTCGTTGCAGTGGCTGGAAACAGAACCACAATAACCAATTTAAAAGGCAAGTAAAAGCAGAAATCGTGCCCCTTTTAGATTGAGGTAGGTCTTGTTTTAACCACAGGTAGAGACAATTGTTTCACAGCAGCTACAAAACCCCAAATAATAATAAAGGTATAAATAACATCACACTCTCTATGAAGACTCAAATGAAAATTTACTAACAGTACCATTGGATCAATGTAAAATGAAAGACACAAGCACAATCGAATTGTAAAAATACAGATTTCTTAGCCGCTTACATCTACATAAAAATACAGGGACTTGCATGCCAAAATTGCAAATAAGCATTAAAATATTGCGGTTAACCGAGAAACATCTCTATTACTTTGAAGCGTGCATTCATTTCAATGATTATGTTGGTCAGAAAGTTTTATCAGTAAACTCATCCTATTGCATTCCTTCCAAGGGACAGAAAACAACTTTTTAACTACATATCAATCAACTTCAGGTAACAAACACAAGGAGGCAATTTGATTCACTAACCGAAATATAAGTTGCAGCAATATTTCGCATGAGATGGTATGGACTGTGCAATGTCTGCATGGGCACAGAGCAATTCTGAAATGAGTATCATTCTTGATTCACTGAAATGACATTCTAGTTATAAAAAGAAATTAATATTTGTACACCTTCCCAATAGATTTTTGTGTCCATAAAAAAAGATTTGTTGACTTTCTTGTAAAGGGCAAAAGAAAGGAAAAAGAAAGAAAATTGGAGTTGTTCTTCCTTGCGCAGTGTGTAAAATAGAAGGGAGAAGAAAGAAGATTTCAATACCCCAGGATGATGCTCTATAATTGGAAGGCTATTCAGCAAGAAGATGACTTCTCCAACTTTGGACCCATCACTATCTGTCGTGACTGAATCTTGTGAGTGGGTCCCTTGAACTTGCAGTGATGACATTTTGAGAGTGAGAAAGTTAATAACTATGGAAAAATACAGAGTGGGTGAAACCACTTCACATTAATGCAATTTTATAGCCCCACTGGATGTTAACAGGTACATCAGAAAAAATACAATACTGGTTTATTAATTTTATTTTATATAATTATAATTATAATTATTAATTTATTTTATTATTAGTAATAAATTTGAAATAATACTAGTAATTACAATTATATTATTTTTATTTTATTAATAATAATAATATAATATTAATTTAAAAAATATATTTAATAATAATATAAATTAAATAATTATTATTATTAATATAAAATATTTTCTTATTAATTATAATAATTATTATATAAAATTAGAATTCATACTTAAATATTAAGACTTTTATATAAATTTATATAGAAGTAGTTTTTTCGTTTTTTTTAAATTAAATTGTGTTATAAAATACAATTTCTAAGTGCAGTGTTATTGGATTTGTCTAAATCTGTAATTTTTTAAAAATGTATACTTAAATTTGAAAAAACAAAATTGTCCCCTCTAATTAAAAAACCAATTGTTAAGATTAAAAACGGTATAAAGAATTTTGATAGAGATGAATGACCACGTTTTTACCCGAAAAATCAACAATTTTCCACCATTTATAATTAATTATTCGAAGGAATTATTTTCAAAACTAATTTTAATAAAATAACTAATAAAATCTATTACAAAATATAAAAGATATATTATTTTTTAAGTATATTTTTTAAAACAAATAATTTTTTTATTAATATTTCAAATACATAAGCTCACATTTTAGAAAAAGAAAAGCAAAAAAATTAATATTTTTTATTTAAAACTTTAATTACATTTTTTTAATGTAATAACTACCTCAAAATTCAAAGCGTAATTATATTATCATTACAACTTTTAAAAATAATATATTAATGTTTTAATCAGACTATACTTTTTTTCCACTGTCATAATAATTTTTTTTTCTCTTTCTTTCTATTCTCATTCTTTTACGTCCAGGAGACTTTTTATTTTTTCTTGTAAAAAAAATCGAATTAACATCCAAAAATTTTCAAATATTCTATGGATAATAATATAAAAATTTAAAAATGTTATTAAATGGATGCTTGATAAATAATGGTCATCTATGTCATCTCTTTTTCTTTTATTGACCTTCTGTAGACTTTTCTGACCTATTTTATTGCAATGGGTATTTATTTAGCTTTTATAACTGTACAATTTTTATCTTTATGCTATTACAATTAAATATGTTCATTTATTACACATATTTTTAATTAGTTTTAGCACCATACAGATATTTTCAATTGTTTTAGTTCTAGTGTAAGTGACAAAGGCTAAAACATTTTAAAAAGGATGAATAGGAATTAACAACGAGTAAATTGTATGAGAATTAAAGCGGAAACTGTGGAAGCATAGAGACAATAAATAACAAACCTTATTATCAGACAAATTAGTTAGTCCTATTTTCGTTATTTTACTGGTTGTAATTCATAGGACCAATGTTTCATCATTCTTTTCTTAAGAGAGGTTGAATGTGCATATCTTTTTCAATTCTATATAAAACCATTTAAACTGTTTGTTTTTACCCTCATTTTCTGGGCAAACTGTTTTTTTTACAAGCATGCATATGGTAAGTTGTTGATAACCACGATGTTACTGAGAACGGTGGTTTTGACGTAACACTTTGTAACACCAGTAGACTGGTAGTAAGTAGCACAGTACAATGATGATATATGTGAAGTTTCTCTTATATTAATTAATGATCACGTGGGTGGTAGTTATCTGTATCACAACTTTGGAGGTGGGACAACCCACTTTCCGCCATGAATATAGGACATGCTCACGAATGGCTTTGCTTCTTCTTCAGAGAGTATCTTCCGAAATTTTACACGCCCAGAGGAAGCAGCTCCTGCTCCCTTGCACCTGTATTCTCCGTAGTAGATTGTCCTATAACAAGTACAATAATACCTTAATTACCAACAATGGTGAAATGCTTGCATACTTTAACTATTTCAACAAATTATAACGTACTGGTTTGATTTGGGGTGAGGAAGTTGGTTGGTGAACCATCCCCGGGCATTGATGAGGGAGCCCATGTACGTGTAAGCAAACACCACTCTAGGGCTCTTCTTCCAGGCACGCCCAAGGTAAGTGTTTCTGTGACCACTTCCCGTAATGTTGCAGTGCAAGAAACTGAATCCAGTGTCTTGTGCAATGCTTTCCCTACCTTGTGCTGTGATAACACTCAAACCCTTTGCAACCGATTCTATGGTACTTCTCTACACACAAAAATTCATGAAATATATCCAAGTACGTATCCTTTCAACTAATAACATATAATTGGCTAATATATATACCAACCAAGTAGATGGATTTTCCATTTCCAAAGATGAAATCGTAGGAGCCTTGGATGTGGCATTCCTTGAAAAAATGCCTGCCTTTATCATCACATAAAGTGTCCTGAAAGCTCAAGAACTTGCAGTTGTAGAATGCAGCCTTGTCCCCCGATATCCTCATGGCTAATGCTTGTGCTCCCACACTATTTTTATCTGGCCTAGGAGACGAGTTCTGCATGTATACGTGAATAACACTTATGCACTCACACCACAAATATATTTAATACACCAAAAAAGTGTTAAACAATATTTATTTCGAAGAGATATGTGAATATTAGTTATTGTTTTGGTATAACGAATATTTTCCTTATTTGAGTGGAAACAGGTGTAGACAAAAGAAGTTTATGTTGCACTGCACTTTCCAAATCCCTTCATATTCCATAACGAATATGGGTGGTAAAGGAAGAGAATGATGATGAAAAGGAAAGGTAAGGAAAAAAACGCACCACAAAAGCGACATTCACAGCGACGAAGTAGTCGGAGTCGACAGCGACGGTGGCGCTGTCGACTGTCCCATACCTTAACGCAGTGGCGTCGTACGTTATGATGGGCATGGTGTGGGGGTTGCTCCCATTCCTCTCTCCATAAAACGTGACGAAAGGTTTGGACCTGTCCACGGTGACCTTCTCGCGATACTCACCCATGCCGATCCACACCACCACCCGCCGCTTGTTCCCTGACGGAATGCTGTTGACGGCCTCCGTCACCGTCCTGAAGTCCCCCGCGCCGTCCCCCCGAACCCTGACGACTCTAACGGCGGCGTCTGGAGGGAAAAGGGTGGTTGCTGGGAGGAGGTGAAGTGCGAGTGTAATTGCAGCCAAAAATGTAGCTCCACTTTCAACGTGACCCATCATCTTATGCTTCAATGCAACCTTTCTGGGCTCTCTGTAGTAACTTGTGTATGAAGACAACTATATATATATATATATATAGATACAATACACGTGGGGCTTAACTGGGCTGAATGTTTAGGGCTATGAACTTTGGAGGCCCACTTTGAACGTTGGCCGAAGCCATCAAGTATTGGGTTTCTGTAACCCTTCTCATGCTTCAATTGTCTTGTTCTAACTAAATATATGGTCATTTTTAATATGCACTCAACTCAATGACCACATTTATCAAATTAAATATGATATATATATTTTTCGATATATTTTTTGATTAATATTTATTTATGATTTAAAAATATTATGAATTAAGATATATTTGTTTAAAGAGATATTAAATCATTTATAAATTTTATAAAAAATACAATTTAAATGATAGAAAAATAAAATAGAATATTTATTTTTAAAATTTAAGTCAAATTAATTTGACAGTCCAATGCAATTGTGTGAAGAATATTTGTAAAAATTATTAAATAAAATAAAAATATCCAAAGTTTAATTTTATTCTTCCTAAAATTTCCTTTTTTTAAAATCTCTAATTATAAAATATAGAAAATGTTAAACTTTATATATGACACCAATCTTGTAATTGACTTCACATTTCTCTTTATTATATATATATTTTTTGTATGAAATATATAGGGAAACATAATTTGCACAAAGATATTACAGCACATATATATCTTTGTTAGTATGCATGCATGTCGGCAATATTCTGATCAAAACATTAACGTCAGTATGGTCCCGTCCCACAATTTCACATGCTCTCTTCCCACTTTTCTTCTTCTCTCCCACCCACCCTTTCTCCTTTATATTTTTCACCATCTTCCCTCTTCAATTCTTGCATCATAACTCCACAAGATGACTAACACACATATATCTTCATTTTGGATGGTGAAAGTGTACTTCAATCTCACCCTGCACATGGATTTGTCTATTGCTTTGAACGTCTTTTGGAATTTAGTGCCTACAACATTTTCGAATGAGATCGTGTTGGATTTTTTCTTTTAGGGGGGTCTCTATGATGTCCTTAGATGAAAGGAACAAATCACTTTCTTCTCCTTTCATTTTTAGGGTCCCTTCATTATGCAACAATTACGTTCTTAACAAACTTATTTTGTATAATAGGTTTTGCTTTTCCTCCATCACTGTGTATGCAACCCAAACCTTTTTAATACTGATACATGCCAAAAATGCAGGGATTAATAAGACAATTTACTTCTGTACACAATCATGTATAAATTGTTAAACTCAAAGCAACCTTACAAAACCAGTGACAAGAGTCAATGTCATGCAGCCATGCATCATATCATATGTTATGTTCAATCAGCTTGCGTGTCAATTCTTACTTTATAATTCACTGTGCACGACTCAAACTTGTCTCTTCACTATTTGCTAAATTGCTACAAGCAAATGGTTTTTATACGTTCTTTTACCATGCAAGCTATCTAGTGATTTTTATTCTTCCTACTTTTTTATTTGAACCATTGCTATTCGTGTTACACACTGCAACTCTTTCACCACATACCTTTGAGATTTCCTTTTCGACACGAATCTTAGAAAACAAATAAATAAAAGTTCATATTATAGACATAACACACTCACTTTCTTTTACTCTCACTTAATTAGTATATATTATCATTATTGTGTATCATTTTCTGTTAACAAGTAAACGACATATTAATAGTAAATCATTTTTTTTAATTTAAAAAATTAAAGGAAACTATGTGTAACTAAATTGTCTATTATTTGGTTTAATGTGTAATTTTTACACACACCAATCATCAATCTTTTCAAATTTCACGGGTGGTCCACGCTCAACTCAAATTTCCCAAATACCACACATAATTAAACCAACAAGTGCTTGCAAGGCATCAATATATATACGTTGTATAAATGAGCGTTTGACTTTACCAACAAACATCAAACAAACACACACCCTCCACCCAAAACAAGAGTCTTAATTAAACTGCAGCTTTGATCAAAGCTCAACACTTCAATTTCTGACACCCAACAATTTCTTTCCCATTTTCGAACTGAATAAGGATGCAACGGCAAAAGGAATCCTCCTTAAAACTCACACCAATCTCACCCTTAAACCCACATCTATCTATTTTGGAACCTGCTCCTGTCTATTCTCCCCCTTAGTGAATACATGAAAATCTTGTCCTTAAGCCTCCAAATCGCATGCTTTTCAAGCCATTAAAAACGTTTGGTGATAACAATGTTCAACTTGTCATTTGTTCCAATAAGTTACCCACCACACAATGCTTACACATATGTACAAAGAAAGAGACGCTCCAGATATTATTACTTGATACATTATCCTCACAAATTACGTACCTTGTCCATTCATGTCACAATTGACTTGAATATTGGATGTGTCTCATAAACTCACCCTCTTAATCCAAGGCCATCCATAAAAAAAAAAGTTTTTTTAATATAGTATAGTCTGACCGATGGTTTAGATTCTTGGTATGACAAGCACTTTTCCAATGTTTCTCTGGTCCATATATATGGTCATCTCGGACACAAATCATGATTATAAAGTCCTTTATTTCTCTTGGGGGGTCTCATATAACTCTATTCAACCTATGAATTCAAAGGCCAAATTGCAAAACACATTATGATGCAATATTATTACACATACTATGTGTTGGCATCAAGTTGAGTGATTGAGAAGGATAGGACTTGGGTTTAATGAATTAATAATATATTCTTTTTCATTGCAACATTTTATTTTTTTTCGATTTAAGCAATGATAGTATTGGTTCACGAAACCCTTTGTATGAAACTGGTAAAGTTTCCTTTTAATAACCAGGACAATAATTAACCAACTATAGGACAAAATCCAACGCGATCAAACCCATAATCTCACTCCCTAATAATGTATCAAGTTCATTCACCAAATCTTCTCATTGGCTTAGCAAATAAACCAATTATTGAGGAACGAGAAAACAACGAGAGACATGCGTGTTCAAGGAATCTAATTTCATGGATCATAATTAGGTTTTAAGAATGTTATATACCCACAACGATGTCGTAAACTAAATGCTATTTTTTTTTTTTTTCTGATCTGAGATATGAAATAGCATGGAGTGTGTATATGAATATAAAAGATGAAAAGGGTGGGGAATTAGAAGCGATGGAAGTAAACACTTACTTAGCATGGATATGGTATAGGCACATAGCGTGTGTGGTGTTTGTAGCTAAAAAATTAGAGACAAAAATTCCTGCAGCAAGATGGGGTCATGACTCGTGCGAAAGGAGGGAAAGGGCCCTCCACGAGGAAGAGGGTGAATCCGATGACCCATGTGGGCTGGTTTTGTCGTAGGAGAGGGGTGTGAAAAGACGAGAATACCCACAGTGATAAAGAATTGGTGAGTGAGTGTATATAGTGTGTGAGTGTGGCATAAAGTGATTGGTAGGGAGCATCTCCACCAAACCCCGTAAAACACGGGCCTCTCATCCATTTTCGTCGTTTTCGCTTCTCACCTCTCTCCATCTCATCCCTACCACCAATGTCTTTTCATTTCTACTATCCATTCACTTCCCATTTCTTTCATCTTTTCTTTTATATCAATTTATCTTCCCCACCTCTAAAAATCTCATCTCGTTTACATGCGTCTCTTTTTTATCTTATCGAAATTAAGATAAAGAATAATTTATATATAGCTTTTTTTTATATAGAATTGATGTACGATATTATTAAACGAAAGATTCTATATTTTTAATTGAGTGTATATGCATCCAAGGTGTTAGTTAGAAAACAAAAGATCGGTTTTGAGTGCAGGATTTTGAATATTAATCTTCTGGCTAAATAATATATTATTAATAAATAATAAATAAATATAAAAGGAAGAAAAAATATAAATGGTTGAAAAAATAAAATTGTAGATATATATTTAAATATATTAAATTATCATTAAGTTTGAGTGAAACAAAATCATAAATTATATGAAAGTTACAAAGCTGAGGAGAGTTTGGGAGGATAAAATTGTAAATATACAAGTAAATATATTAAATACTCATTATGTTTGGGGACCAAAATCATTAATTAGATAGGAGTTACAAAACTTTGGGAGTCACGCACTCACTCCCAAAAAGATCCGCCACTAGATGCTCATTATCTAATAGCAAAGTTTTTAAAGGGGTTTGGGAACTAAAATATGAGAATATATATCTACCATATGTTGTGGAATTAATATGTTGCGACCCAAAATACAGGATAAGATTCATAACCAGCTCAGTTGGCAAAAGCAGTGAAATGTTTCACAAACCACAATATAAAAGAAACTTTGCTGCCAATGTCGAAGTAAACCTCATTTCTAAATTATAGTAATGTCCAAATGCTACCTATATTTCGGGTAGTGGTTTGGTTACAATAAGGAAAATGTAACTAATTAACATTATGTTCTCAACAATATGGTTTATGATGCTCTATGCAGAATTAGTGATCACTCATTCGTATCATCCTCATAACCTTTTTCAATGCTAAATTTGTCAAGAAAATTTCATATGTTTTAGATGTAAAATGTGAATTTAAGATGATTTAAATTACATATAAATCTTGCATTCGACTTGATATTTAACCTGAAGACGTATCATTAAACGTACTATTGATATTTTTAAAATTCATCAATCAACTCATTTTATAGTAAAGAAAAATATTACTAATAGATTTTTATAATTGAATTTTAGTACAAAACACCAATACATGTGATGGACCTTCATCGTCAATTCAAATAATATATTATTAATAAATAATAAATAAATATAAAAAAATAAAATAAAATTATATATTAAATAATTATTAAATTTAAGAATTAAAATCATAAATTATACAAGAATTATAAAATTAACATAATTAAAAAAATAAAATTATAAATATATTAAATAATTATTAAGGATAATTTTTAAAAATTAAAATTATTAATTATATTAAAGTAAAAAAAAAAAAAGGGTTATGACTCCCTATCTAACGAGTGTGAAAAGTGACACGTCAAGATGGTGTTTCTCGTTTTGATTCTACATAGTCGTTTGGAAATAATTTAAAGAAAAAAAAATTACTTTAGCGAAAAAGTATAAAATATGTTGTTTTCCCTTCTAATTTACCTAATTAAGTGACGTAAGAGTTGCATAATAAAACAAATTACTTTTTTTAGAGTAAATGTATCGTGTTATTTTTTTTTCTCTTAGAGTACTAGTTTGTAAGTATTAGTGGTCAAATCATTCAGTCCATCTTATTTTATAGCTAGTCTTATTTTTATCCGTTAAAAAGAGAATAGGATAAACTATCATAATTTAGAAGGGTTATAATTTTAATTGGTTTTGTAAAAATCGAATTAATTAATATTTTGTTATATATATATTAAAATTATCTTATATATTAAAAATATATTTTAAATTATATAAATATTTTTAAATATTTACTTATTAATTAATATTTTTATTATATATTAAAGTTTATAATTAATATTTAACCTTAATTTATTAGTATTTTTTATTTAAATTATAATATTGTAATATTTTTATTATATTTCAATAACATAATAAAAAAATATGATATTATAATTTTTTATTTTAATAATAATATATAAATTAAAAAAAAATCAAAAATCAACTCATCACATTCCATGCTTAACTTACAGAATTGACGGACTAAATAAAATAGATTAAAGTACACTAAAACTATCAACGACGTTACTTATTTGAAATGAACTCACATATCGATTCATCTAATTTAATCAATTTTATAATCTTATTTTTAAGTTTGTTTAATATTTTTATTTTTTATTAACAAAATTACCGTACTAAAACTATCAATTCATGTTGTTAATTCGAGATGGAATCACATCAACATCCATCAAGTCTAAACGGTGTTGTGATTCTTATTTTTATTTGTTATGTACTTTTATTTTTTATTAAAAAAAATTGTTTATAGATTTTTTAAAATAATGCTACACAAACATACCATACATTAAATTTTGGAAATGAATTTAGAAACTGTTCAGTGTATGCATCTATTTGCTTACTTGGTTAATTTACAAGAATGGTAGATAATAGGAGACAAAATTGGACAACTGTTAACACGAATACGTTGGCATGATTTGCGTAGAATGGTTTGTTTGTTATTAGTAATACATGAATTAACCAATCAAACTGTAACACTTGGAATCTTCCCTTCCGCCTAACATTTTGCTTGCCTTTTTCATTTAACTTTTAGTGGTTCCTTCCAATCATTATTGGCGCATGGTTCATGAAAGTGTGACATGCAGCACCAATACCACTAACAACGTTGGCCAGGACACGAGTGGTTTTCTGGTTTGTCAACATTGTGTGAGTTGTCCATCATGTATCATCACATTCAGGAGCACATAAACGTTGAAATTCCATCACCTTCCTCACATCTTTAAACACCTGGGATCATTATATTACTTTTCACTCTATCAACTATTAATCAAAGTAAATTTTGATTTACTATGTCAACTGTATTTTTAGACTCTGTTCTTTCTGATGTATATATTAATCTTCACTGTATATTAATCAAAGTAAAGAGATTGTATTTGACTCGACTTTCTTAAAAAGAAAAAATAAAATGAAAGTGGCAATATATCAGCACCTTACGTATAGTTTTTCACGTTAAAAATATTTTCCATGCTGTGGTTGATATATATATATATATAGTATATATAAAGCAAGAAAATTGTATTGGTGATAAATACGAAATGAATGAAAGTAAACCCTATTTCATTTTGTATGTTCAACTTGACCCCACTCATGGAAACATGTCTTGGTTCCATTAATTAAACTATTTCCTTCCATCTTGTCTTGCATCTCTGTTTTGCCCTTTCTTTTATGTTCATCTTCTCCTTTTTATTCTTTGCCCCTTTTTACTTTTCCTTGTAGAGAATTCTAATGGTGAGTTGTTAATTCTAAACTTTCTAGAGTCAAAAGATACACGAGCTGGCAGGTTTCTGACTCCTTCATCTTCAAACTTCAAATGTCCATAGTTCAAACCCCACCTTTCCACAACCCATAAAATAAATAAACCTTTCAAGACAAACAAAGACTGTGCCAAATGCCAGCTATTGTTGTATTGCAGTGCAACAAAGAGAAATTCATATGTGGCACAATTTCAAGTGGAACACAAACTGGTGTCTCACTCACATTGCTCCAAACACCACCTCTAAATCGTCGATGATAGGATAACTAGAGATTTATTTACTTCTTCAAAAAGAAGTAAATTAGAGAATATCTACTCATTATATAAAACTGATAGCAGTCATGTAGGAATCCTAAAGTAGGTTAAACCTATTTGATCAATCTCTGTCTAAAATATTTCTAAATATTTTATGATGAATCTGCAAAGTAAGTTAAATTTCATTTCTCTGTCTAATTTTTACTAATGGGTCAGCACAATCGCTGAAAGCATATTGTGGTGGTAGAAATGAGGGTCACATTGTCACCCTTATAACCGTGTATTTGGATCTTATCCACAAAACTTAGACGTGCGTCACTTGGGCAACTTTTACTTGATTTGATATGCAGTTTGACATGATAATTTCTAATTCCTTATAACTTACAAGAAAAAGAACTCACATTTAGAAGATTTTTCCTCAAACACCATCCAAATATTGTGGTGCGGATGTAATTGAATATGGCCTCTCATGGTGTGGCAATGGCAGCTTGGCAACGCGTTTCACACATCTTAATTACAGACACTAATGCGTGCACTACTATAAATTTCGTGTCATCCACTTCATGTCCAATTTAAAGTCGATAACCAAAAGTATGTTTTCTTTTTCTTTTTTGGTTCACTGAGGTCAGAAATTTCATACAGGGAGCGTGTGAGAGCGTATTGAGAAAAACAAAGGCATCTCTAACAACCCAATCATTTGTATGCAAAAGTATGCGTATCTCTGCCAGACAGTAATATATCTCTTCCTTACAAGCATTAATTTAGCAACATTTTTAAGACCCTCCTTTTATTTATATATTAAGTTCATCAACTTATTCAATGCAAAAGCTTTGAATTCTGCTGTTTGCATTCTTAAAAGCGGTTGACTTCACTGCTGTCTCAGAATATGAACCTTTTTTCTGCAACTACCTCTGGCTGCAGATTTCCTATATTTTATGTGTAATATATTTTTTGGAATTATTATACACATAAGGGTGTGGCTTAGATGCATCATCATGTTCTCTACCCCAGCTAACAACCAAGATACAGAAATTTATTTCCTTGACCAACCCATGAATGTTTTGGTGCAGTGGCTTGTAATTAATGCAAAGTTCAGATTTTTCAGCAGGAGGGGACGTAGGTTCTTAATGTCAAATAGAAATGATGACGCAAGGCCAAAGTCACTCATGTCTGATATGAATTCTTTTGGTAACATTTTAATTAATTGAGGGACCTAGCCTAGAAGATTATGGTAATCAATTCTTTAACTGGTGTATATCTTCAAGAATATTCATGTATTATTTTTTAACAAGGAAACTACTATACATTAATTCAAACTATTAATCTGATTAATAGGAACTAGGTTGAGTTGTGAAATGCTATTCTATTTTGAGTTGTGGGGTCAGTTATAAATTTAAGCCGGCAAAAATCACAAAACTGTAATGACAACAATTTTTTTTTTTCAGACATGAAAAATTATGCAAAATGAAGGTATATATAAATATCATTCCTAATAAATACTTGTGGGAACTGTTTGTACTTTGTGCACAACGCATGTTACCTTGTCCCAGATAACTGTTGACGATGTAACTAGTGAATGGATCAGGGTTTTCTCCAGTTGAATTTTGAACTGCATAAGTCATAATCATGAAAAAGAACTTGATACATTAGAAGTTACAATACATAATAAAAAGTTTACATGGATAGATTTGAGGGACACAATCGATGAATAACTAGAGTCTCTGATGGAATCAGCATAGTGAAAGGAGAGAAGGGTAGAAGTAGTCACCATGTCAGCTTCCATTTTCTTTAATTAGCAAAATAAGTCCCTCTCGACCAATTTGTAAGCAGTTCCAATAATGCTCTTTTGTTATAACCAAACACCCACTTCGGGAATCTGATGAAGAGCTTCCAAAATTGAAGCTTTCAATGCGACATATAATGATTCGTGGACAAAAAAAGTTTCGGTGTCGTCCCAGTCACATTCTACTCTGACAGCACCACTCAACATAACATAACATTTATCTAACAAAAAAACAAGCTCATCCAAGGTAAAACAAGACACATTTTCCCTTGAAGAAGAAATGAACAATTAATTAACCACTTCACTTACACTGCGTACAATTTCCCTTTCATTACATTGGTTGGAGCCTCCATCAACTCAACCAAACCACTACAACCAAACCAACTCAACATCCATCCCCACCATATCGTAAAAATCTAAATTATACAATACAACCAATATTAACTAATGAATCCACCTTACTAAAATTATTGACAACATTTTTGGATGAATGTTAGTTATTACAACTAATCAAATTACAGTCACAGATAGATGCAACTATTATATGTATAAATATAAAATACAACATTATATGTGGTTTTATTTTTATTTTTTGTTTTGTCTTTTTTTCATGTAGCATTAGCATTTGGCTTAGCAGGCATAGAAATCGACCAGTTCGTTGAGAGACTCGGGTTGTGGGTCGGCGTTTTCCAGCATCCAGAGCAAGTGTTCGAAGAGGACAACCTCGCATGCGACATTGATGGTGTCGTGTTGGTGGTCGGAGTCTTCGCGGGACCTCTCCACAAGTTCCCGGAAGACGGGGTGGCCGAGGACGCCGGAAGAGACGCGGTAGAGGCGGCGGGACTTCCCAACGTAGACCGCATGGAGGTCCGATCTGGAGGAGGACTCGTCGTCGGCGACGGCGCTGGTGCTGTGGCGGCTCTGCTTGCCGTTGCCAAATGAGTTCCATTTCTTCAGCACTGATTTCAGCCTCATTAGTTTTCCACCTTTCGCCATTACGTAAAATTGTTAAAATTGAAAATGAAGAAGATGAAATGAGCGAGATAGGGAGAGAAGGTGGGAAAAGGAACGAAGGAGGAAGGATCGTATATAAAGGGCTGGGGGAGGGGTAAAATGGTCAGAGAAATGCGATAGAAGTGGGGCCAATGGTGTGGGACCCATTTTTGTAGAAATCTTCAGAGTGTGTGTGTGCAAGATAAGGTCAAAAGGAAAGGAAAAGATGAGGGTGTTCTTAATTTTGGCACTGAACTGAACATTGGTTTCGTGAGCTTCACAACAGTAACTTTTTTCTTTTTCTCGTGTGTTTCGAGTTTGTCCTCTTTTTTTCAGACTTTTTTATAATGATTGGTTCTATATGTGACGATCAATTCACTTCTCTTTAATTTGTTTCTCTTTAATGTAAAAATTAAATAAAAAAATCTTATTCTAAAAATCATTCTAAGAACTTGTTTTCGAAACATTCTTGTACCGCATTAGTATTTTTAAACAATTAGTCTAGTGTTTTATTTATGTTGATACCATTTTAAACATGAAATAAAACGTTTCAAAGAGGAGAATGTGTATTATATGTGTCATGCTTTTCATTTTTATATTGCTCGTTTTATAAACAAATGTTTTTATTCAATTTTTTACTCTTTAGAGAATTTTGTTTCAATATTAGTATCTTTCTTCTCTCCTCTAAGCATGGTTTGATAGAAGAAAAAAAATGAAAAAAAAAAGATGTATAGAAAATAAAATAAAAATAAGTGTGTTGAAGATAAAAAAAGGAAATAAATTAAAATATGTATATTTTTTTTACATCCTGCTACTAAGCTTTCATAAGTTTTTTATTTCAAATCTAATTAATAATTTGTCTTTTAGATTTTAGAATATCAAATATGTGTATTTATCTCCCATTTAGTCTCAAACTTTGTGTTTTCAAATGAAAAAAAAATTATTTTAACACAGGGCCCAATTCCTTTTAGTTATATTTTAAAACGGTTTTAAAGACATATTTTTATTAAAGAGATTGTGGGAAAAGAAATTTAAGGATAAATAGAACGAATATTAAAAAAAAAAACCTTAATCAATGAAGTTTTTGCAAGATATACGCCGCACGAATTACTATAATTTACAATTGCAACAAAATATTATCCATGGTGAAAAATATACGTTATAAATCATTCGAACTTAGGCAAGCTACTTTATAAATTTATTTGAATATCCGTTTTATAAAATAATAATAATTTTTTAAATAAAAATAAAATAATATTATTATATTATATTTATATATATATATATTATAAATTAATTTGATAAAAATTTATTTATTTTAAGAATAAATATTTAAAATTATATATTTAAATATTTAATAATTAATATTAATTATTATTTTTAATTAATAAATTATTAAAAATAAATAATAATAATAATGAAAAGTAAGTTTTTAATTTTTATTTTAAGATTGAATTGATATATTTTCTTAAAATTTATATATTAAATAAGTATATCTTAAATAAAAATTAATTTTATTTATAAAATTTAAATTTTCAAAATATATTTAAATTTTCATTGACCTATAATAAGATTAGACTAGACTATTTTTTTTGTTTATTTTAAAATATAGGTTAAAATAGGTCATCAAAATATTTTACTTGACCGGTAGGGTCAAGTGAGATTGGCTGGATCGCTTCTTTTAACAAAATTTAATTTGTTATTCATTTAAGTTATTTATTGATGAAATGATAAAATATTAAGTGTCATGTAACGTATAAAACTTTTATTAAATTCCTAAATTGGAATGACGCTTGATGATAGATATTTTATTTTCAAAATTTTAACGTACCAAAAACACATATAATAGATATTTATATAACTTATATGAATAAGGTATTTTCAAAACATATATTGTATTTTTATTGGAAATTTTCTAGGTAGATTTAAAATATCATAAAATATAAAATTAACAAAAACATCTAGGATCTTATCATCTCTTATTTTACTCTTGTTATGTTTAACACCTGCATTATTGTTCACGTGTAAAACACACGATCATCACAATAAAAAAATTATACGAAATACACATGATAATATAGTATTTTTGAAATAAACATGTTAAATTTAAATTTATTTTAAAACTACAATTTTAAGCATTTTTACATATATTTATAACTACACAAATTCATTTCAGATTTATCATATCAAATCAATTCACATCACACAAACTTTAAACGACTTCCAGGAGATTGAACATTAAATTAGATTCAAAGATTCTGCACCTGTTAGTGGAAAATCGAGAAAAGTGATCGAAAAACAAAGGAAAGAAAAAATCGAGAAACATGTGATTGATTGGTAAATAAAAAAGATGAATGAAAAATCATTCGATGTCTAATTAGAAGTACGTGGCACATAAAATCGAGAGTTAGAATCGAGAATCGAAGGAATAATAGTTAAAGGTCTATTTGTTGAATAAAACCAAGAAATTAGAAGTATATGACGTTAAGGTTAAGGGGAATCGAAAGCAAATTCAAAAATTCTCGAGATTTTAAAATCGAAATTGAGGGGAAGGCTAACCTGCGTAAATATCAAAATCTTGGCCAGATCATAAAGAGAAGAATAGTTAAACGCACACATAGGAAACAGTTTCTAAATCGTGGCAGAGGTTGAAGATCATAAGAACGTGGGTGCAGTTTTGACACCACAGAAGAAGAAACTGCAACGTGCACGAAGAACGTGGTAGCAGTTTTTGCTAACTGCTCCTAAGAGGCTACTTGAAAGATGATCTATAAATAGAGCGAAAGATGAAAAGGGGAGGGGGTGGAAATTGGCAGAGAGAGCAGGAACACTAGTGAGAAGTCTACTGGAGAATGACGAACATCATGAAGTTTCTGACGATCTGGATGTCCATGTGCATTAATTTCCTTTACCGCTTTCTTTATTTTCCTTAGTAATTTACTTTGATGCAGTTTATGTTTAGCAACTTTAAGTTTCTGTATTTTCGATTCCTTGTCATTTCCCTTTAATGAAGGTTAAGTTTCTGCGTCTAAGTTCCTTGTCATTTATATTAACGCAATTTCGATTTCTTGTTGTCTATTTTTCTGCAAAGTTAGATTTTTATTTACAATCCCGCAATTTTCGATTCCTTGCCATTTACATTTAATGCAATTTTAAGGTTTCTGCACTTTACATTTTCTGCAATTTAATATTTCTTCGCAGTTTTACATTCGATACTGCTTTTCGATTTGTCACTTTACTGTTTTCCTTATTTCGAGTACTTCAAACACAAAATACCAAAAATAGTGCTTTCGATTATTAATCTTAGTATTTTCTATACAGTGGTACTTTCGATTCTCATACACATATCGATTGAAATTCAATTGCTAGCCTAAGTATAAAGAATCTATGTGGTTGAAATTTGGTTAGAATCAAAAGCCTCTTAAGAATCGAAATTAATCAAAATTCCACCAAAAACAAATTGGCGCGCTAGGTAGGGGACATTTGTGTCGAAAAACACAAAATTGGTTAGTTCGAAAGTGTATGAGATTAAGGAGTGGGCGAGTTATAAGAATGAGTCAAAACCTACCAAATAACCAGAGTAACAGTGAGGGTCTAAATAGTTCACATCCACCAAACACTGGGGGGCAAGGTCTTAATGGAAATATGTCTGTAACATCGACGACTGTGAGTATGTCGATACCTGTGGGTAATGAACAAAGTTCAGGCACATTAGCAAACACTCAAGTAGGATCTAGTACTGTGATGGGGAACCCCATAACAACATATGCAGGACCGTATATGAGCGTACGACCACCTGGTTTTTCACCTAATAATATGAATGGAGCTGGTACCTCTTCAATACAATGAAACTCGAGATTTAACCTAGGAATGCCTCAGAACTTAGGTACCTTTCAAACTCCATGTATGCCGCAAAATTTTGGAGTCTCTCCAAATTTAGGGGCGTCTCAAAATTTAGTAAACCCCCAGAATTCAGGGAGTGGGCAGAATTTAGGTACACAACAGATACCTCCAAATCTAGATCACAGAGCAAATCTGGATCATGGGAGAAACACATTCGATAGAGATTATCATCGATCCAATTTTGAGACCATTGAAAACACTAGTACTGGGATCTCCAGTAATTCATTAGGAGTATTTAGACAACAAATGGATGAGAGCAATTTTGAGATGGTGAATATGTTATCACAACAGTTAACTACAGTCCTCAATCCATTAGTTCAAAACACTACTGCTAGTTTTGAGATATTAGCAGACCAGATGTCACGTATCGGAGATGCATTGACTATATCTCGACAAACAAGAGTGGAAAATCATGCCAATCAGAACAGTAACCAAAATGCTAATATCAATCCCCCGTATCTGTTGAGGAGAAATCGAAACAATGATCAACATCAACATATGGGAAATGAATATCAACATGTGAGGAATGATATTTATGGGAATCTGAATGAGGGATTTCAAAATATGTACAATCAAAATAATATGCAGTATAATCACATGTTAGGACAAATGATGAATTCCCAAGGAATGGAGTTAAGACCACCCAATCAAACGTACTTTGTTTCTCCTTTTCCAAATGCTATTCTCGAGACAGAATTACCTCGAGGATACAAAGTACCTAAATTCACCAAATTTGCTGGAGAAATTGGTGAATCCACTATCGAGCACGTGGCTCGATATCAGATCGAATGTGGGGATCTAGCGATGAGTGAAGAATTAAAAATGAAATATTTCCCTAGTTCATTGCTAAAAATTCTTTCACTTGGTTTACTTCGTTGCCACCCAATTCGATATATAATTGGTTGCAACTGGAAAGAAATTTTCATGAGCAATTCTTTAGAGGAGAGACTCAAGTAAGTCTCATCGATTTAATGAACATAAAGAGATACAATCATAAAAGCATAGATGATTATTTGAATAGATTTAGACAAATAAAGTTGAGATGTTTTACTCAAATTCCTGAATATGAATTAGTCAGAATGGCCTCTGCAGGTTTAGAA